TAGCTGGGGGAGGGGGGTTATGTGAAGAAGCTGCATACATTTGCTCTTGCTGTTCTGCATGAAGTTCTATAGCTGAGGTTCATGTAGGTCCTCATCCAGCTCTAGGCTGGGTGATGAGCTTTGGGAGAACTGAGATGGCTGTAGGTCTGTCGCAGCAAGTGCTGGTGGCAGGGAAGCTCTTCTGCAAGGACTTCAGTGTGGTCAACATACCTCTGCCTGAAATCAAGGTTTCTGAAGTTTTCTGGCTTCCAAGCCTGTGTCAAATGCTGCTGCTGGGTAGAAGCCCCTTCATCAAGTCTGTTCCTGGAGGACATGCATGGTGGCCAGCTGACTGCTCGGTGGCTGAGACTTCTAGGTCTGTACAGGGAAAGCTGTCTATTGGAGCTGGGGTCACCTTGGTATGTTTTGCTGTGGTGGCTGTGCTGCTCTGCAAGGGCCAGTGACACTTGCACAGAGAACATGTAGTAATGCCCAAAAGTGAGACCAGCCAGTGAACCATAGCTGAGTGCAGAACTCCTTTGGGTGGACTTTTTAATCCTTTACCCCAAGTACCAGTTTTGGGGTGAGCATGTCTACAAAAAAGGTCAAAATACAGTTGTTCTTCTTGATGGGTCTCTGAGTAAGCCAGGCTCAAAGTACAAGTTTTGTAGAGGGGTTTTAAGAGTGCTGGGAGTGGCGTCTTTGACAGCCAGGACCTCACTGCTTTGTCCTATGGGTACAGGAGTGAGTTTGCTGGGTTCATTAAGCAGAATAGCAGGTTTTGGGGCATGGTACAGAGTGGCCTGTGGAGGAAGCAGCAGCCTTCTCTTGGTGATGCTAACTTGAAGCCCTTTAGCTATAGCCCAGTGCATTAATGCACTTATTGGGGATTGTCTATGAATCTCTACTCGCTGTTCTGGCCTGCAGTCATTGTTGGAATCCTAGGGCCTCTTCTGTGTTCACTGATGTGTTTGCTTTAGGGCTGTGTAGATAGAGGAGTCATCCCTGCTACCTTCAGGCCTGACATAGTCCAAACGTCATCTTGCCTGTCTACTTGTGTATGTTGCCTGGTCCCCATCCTAGGAGGGCTGGGAAGGGAGAAACTGAAGAGCCTGATTCACATGATGAGGTAGCTGTTGGCTTTGGTTTGAGAATTGTTCCAGTGGGGCTATGAGGTGCATCCCAAGGCTGCAGTGGGCTAGGCTGCTCAGACACAACTGCGTTTTCTCAAGGAAAAATTCTCCCCTTTAATTGCAGTCTATTTCACTTCTAGCAAGAAGCCCTCTTAGTGTTGCAGCACTGATCTTCTGCTGGTTATTAGCTCATAACACAAAGGTGCTTTATTAGCTGAAGATGGCATCTATAATGACTTCAACAAACCGGATATTTGCTTGGTAATAAGAGTGTATAGCTTAGTGCAGGAGTGGGAAAAATCTAGCCTGTAGTCCCACTGACTCCAGGCACACAGTGGGGTGAGAGCAGCCTGGCAGCCAGACTCTGCTTCCCAGAAACCCCTTTAGTGGTGGCTCGCTCTACTCAGCTGCTGCCGCCAGTGTCTCCATTGCCAGACCCAACCTGGCTGCCTGGGCAACCCTGGCCCATCTGCCCTGCACCCGGTGCTGGATGGAGCAGGTGGGCTGGTGGGGTCTCCATGGACCTCTGCAGGTAGAGCGCACTTAGCCAGGCAGATGGGATGGGGCCCTGGATGCATGGGGAGTGGAGGCTCTGGCTGGGCCCTGGCTCTGTGCTGTCACCACCCAGTGATCCCAGCTCTGCCTGTCTGTCCTGCATCCAGATGCCGCTCCCCACATGCCCACAGTCTTCGTGCAACAACCTTGGTACAGCTTGTTATGGCTTGTCTAGAAACCCCTAGTGGTGCTGTTGTAACTGACTGGAACAATACTGTGACATCCTTCAGCGTGGTGTTCAGCGCACTCAGCCCTTGGCTGTATGCTCTTCAGAGGCAGCCTGGGGTGGCTGCCTTGGCTTGCACTATTCCATACCCCCTGGCCATGTATACACAAAATGTGCCACTCCACTGCATGGCTGCTCATTTATGCCTGGGTTAGAAGGGGGCCAGGAAGTGCTATTGACACACAGCTGTGCTCGATTACAGGGACTGGAGAAGAAGGTGGTTGTCTTCTTCAAAGTCAAGTTTGGGTCTCTTTACATGCTGTCCCCCCTTTATCCTTAGGTGGCAGATGCCATGAGGCAGATGCAAGAGAAGAAGAATATTGGGAAAGTTGTCCTAGTTCCTGAAGTGCTGAAGGAGGAATCCAAGAAAGAAGAAAACTAAAACCAAGAGGCCTGTCTGCAGGTTGTGAACTTGTGGTTTAACTCCCTGGCCCTCCTGGGACCTGGGAATGGACAGATCAGTTGCTGCCATCTTCACCATTTAGTCTTGAACTGTGTGCACCTGTCATTGCCAACCTCTCCCCAGGTGTGACAGTAACATTAGAGCCCATGTCCCTCCCCATCCTTCTGCTTGAATGCCTGCTCTCACCTGCAGTTTCTGATTGTTATTTTCTTTCCCAAATTCCAGACAAAATTACTTCCCTTTGGCAATACCTCTCTGGCCTCCAGGCAATCGGTGACTAACGGTTGCATAGTATGTCACTGTAAAGCGTAAATGCAAATTGTTATAGCAACCATTGACTGTCTCCATAGAAACTGAGCCCTTGCTGGAGCTTTTACCCTGCTGCCTCCAAGAGGCATGTTTGACTGATGAATGTGCCAAATTGTAGATGCTTTTTAATGAAATTGCTAGAGAAAAATTGCCTCAGCTCTTGCATTATTCTAACACTGGTTATTTCTTTAGTTACACTTGCCATGAGACACTTGCCTGCCTTTGCCCCCTTTTTCCTAGGCCTTTAAAGCTAGTGATTTAAAAGACACATTGGGCTGTTTTCCTAAAAGGCGTAGCATCTCCATTCTGGTCACACTAGTTTAATTTGCAGCTCCTTCTCTTTGCAGGCTGCCTGTAACCTGAGGAGAAGTTGGCCTGGTGCTTCGTGAATACTAAAGCGACATTGCGGTTAAACCATTTGATCTTGTCCATTTTCTGATCCCAACAGTTAGGGAAGGTCTAAACCAATTCTATGCTAAAATCTGGGTTTGGAGACCATAAGGACTCAACTGTGTCTCAGAAATGACTGGAACAATTCATGTTGGCTCTGTGTGCTTTATTAATGTTGGACTCCGAATTGATAACCTTCAGGCTAAGTTTCACCCTTGTGTTTTGTAATTGCCAAGGGCTGCAGTGTGAAAACAAATGTCTGCAAGATGAGGCAAAATAAGCCTCTGTTTACCCTTGCTTCTGTTTTGTGTGTGCTGCATGCTGGTGGGAGGGGGACATGGTTGCCCTGGAAGTGAGCAAACCAACAGAAACGAATAACCTATCGTGCCAGAAACGTGGGGCTGGTGCTCTGCGCACTGATTCATCTCCAGAGCCAGTGTGCTTGTTGAACGAGCTGTACAGTGTTGACAGTTGACTGTCTAGGTTCAGATCTCAAAACTGCTTGCCCAGGGACTCTTCCTTAATTAATCCTGGCTTTTGGCTTGTGCTTACCCATCCATTTTGAATTGGCTCCTCAGATCTCCATTAGTCTCAGACCAGCCCCTGAGTCTTTCCTTTTCCAACTTCTGGACTTCATGGAAGGATAGTGCTGAAGTGTGTCTTGCCCACTCAAACCATAAAGTGCCAGTCCTTTTCATGGTACTCGTAACACTTAGACTTTGGAAGCTGTCCGGGGTGTCTCTTTCCCCAGGATGAAACCACAGGATTCCACACCTGAGCATGCAGAGACCCCTGAATGTCAGGACAGTTCAGTCTGTGAGCATTTAGCAGAAGCTTGACCTTGTACATTGTGCTCTGGCTAGTGCTGCCTCCAGCGCTCTGCTGGTCCTCCTGCCTCAGTCACTCTGTTTCCAGCACTTAGTGCTTGTGTTGCTGTTTGCACTTGCTTTAGCAGTTTGGTTTTCGTCTTAGTTGGTTGTGGATGTGCAGGAGTTCAGGCTTTGTGTGTATTCTGGATCTGACAAGGACAATGTGAAGCAACAAAAAATATCCCACCTTAAGGAGCTCTAGAGTTCCACATCTGGACACAGGGGCTTATTGCTTAGAGTCCCAGTTAGCTGAGCTGCTCAAAAAAGATGGTATGGCAGAAGCAAACTGCAGCTCTTTTTTTTTTTTTTTAAAAAAAAAAGGATTCCTCCATCAGATTTTTGGGTCTAGCAGCAGCACAAGGATTGTAGTGTGCAAGTAACAAAGGGACTTCTTCTGTCAGCTATATGCTCCTCAGGATGATGGTGGTGGTTCACAACACATTGGTCTTTGCAGCTCTTATTTTGCATGCCTAAATTCAGCTCCCAGCTCTGTTGGCTCCTAGGGCTGCTTTAGGCTTGGGACCCAGAAGGATTTGCTCTGGTTAAATGGTTTCAAGTATTAAATAGTGCATTCTGGTTGGAACCTCTAAAAAGAGAACTATTTGGGATTCAGCCTGGCTCCTGTTTCATTCCTTGTGCTCTGGATTTGTGCCTGCTCAATGGGTGTGATGTAATGGAATTTGCAAGCACAATTTCCACCCTCTTCCCCCCAACCATTCATTAATCTAAACTCTTCCTGCTACATTTTCCCAGCTGATCAGTTTAATTTTTCCCTTTTGTCGCATGCAGTTTTTTACCGTACCCTTCTGAAACTATATTCGAACAGTTGTTAGTCGTAAAAAGGAAGGCTCACACTTGCTCCAGCATCCTGGCTCCTGAGACAAAGGTAGTTGGTCCAAGCTGCACACTGAGCTGCAAAGCTTCAGGTTCTCCACGTTCTTTAAAAGGGGAAAACTTTCAACCTCTTTCTTCTTTTTCTTTTTTTTCTTATATAGTAAGTTTTCATTTTTGGGGGCTCTACCCTAGCAACAAAGAGCACACCCCGTGCCTTACTCCAGATGGCCTCTGAGGTGGCACTGAAAGGCTTTTGTAGTTTAGTCCCTCTCTTCTGATACCATGTGAAGGAAGAAAATGGGAATCTGGTATCTTCCTGTACAACAACTGATGTATGCTGCATCACGACACACCACAGAAAACAGTATATCAGTGCCTTTTCTAGACAACTTATAAGGACTAGCAAGTCACTGATGCCTTTGCCATACAGGCCTCTCAAAATATTGCCAAAAATCTATTATGATTCATCATAGCTATGTTTTATGGTATACAAGTGACATGGTTCTACTTACTCTCTGACCCAATGCTCCTTGTATGTGTGTTACAGAACTGTGCAGATTTCTGGAGGTTTGTGCTCCTACAATCCAGCAGAGTTTAGCATAATCAGATGCCTCACTCCAAATTGTCTGCCTCTGGCCAAAGGTGACATTGGCCTGCTTGTGCATGTTGGTGTAGTAGATTTCCAAAGTTCATCCTGCTAATAAGGTATTGCTAGCAGTAAGATCTCCTGGGGTGGAGGGCAGAAGGGTGCTTGCCACCACTATAGTGGCTCTCTGGAAACTATCAGGGCTTTCTTGATTTTTAATGTAGTTGCTAGTGACTTTTCTACTTATAAACGTCTGAAGCCCTTTTTACAGTGCGATTTCTGAATACTTCTGAGTGGATAAGGTATTTTGTGATAGTTTAGCACTGATTGTTTTCTGCCCCTCAGTAGCTACAGTATTTTCTACAGAAAACTAAGATTAAATCTAACTTTGCTCTACACTGCCTCACTGACTAATGCTCTTAGATTTTATAGTAGACTTACTTAGTCTTGAGTTTTATGGAAAAATATTCTATGGGCCAATAAGTATAAAACCCACTTTAAACCAACCTTGTTAACAGTGTCTTAACTTGCTAAAGTTAACAGCAGGTTGTTACATCAAGGACCAAAGCAAAACATCATTCCATTCCAAAGTGTTGGATTAGAATGAAGCTTGCTTAATGGTTCAGGGCAAACTTGTACCATCTAGCAAAGAGATGATTGCTATGTTTCCTCTTAAATTGTGTCACTTCAGAATAGCAGCAATGCCAATTTTTAATGTTTATTTTTTTTCTAATTGATCACTTGTGCCATACGGAGGAGAATGACTGTGAGGAGTGAAAGGTCTGAGCAGGGGAGCTGTGCAAGCACTGGTTAAATCTTCCCTGCTCCCTCCACTCTGCCCTGCTGTAGCTTAGGGTGTGTGCTGCATGTGGTGTATGTTAAGTTGCTAAATCCAATGGTAATTCTCTAATTGTGTGACCAGAACATCACTGCTCTGTCTGAAACCAAAACTGCCAGTCTGGGACGGTAACCTTAGACGCACGTTGACTTTCTTTGCCATCACCAGGCAGCTTTAAACAAGTTTTTTGCTGCTTTAATTTCTTTATACCGATCATTCATATTCCATGGGGGAGAAGGGAGCAGAAAACAACCACTTTTGACTTGCACAGAGACCTGTAGCCACAGCTAAGAAAGAAGATGCTTTTGAGATGGGGTAAGGGCTTTTCAGATACAAGGGAGAAGAGTTTAGCTGCATATTTAGTTCAGACCTGCTGTCTGAAGTAGTAAGAGACCAGTGAGGGGCAAAAAGTGTTGTGGGCATTAGGCTTTAATGCAATGAACTGGCCTGCCTGCAGCTCCTATCATAGGTGTGAAACCACTACTGTTGCTAAATGGAGTCTTTGGTGCCCAAAGCACTGGTGATGGCAAAGGGTGACTGGCAGATTAGCATATGAGCACGGTAAGATGTGTTACACTTTTTGGCCTCTAATGACACATGGTGTGGTCTGTGCCGTCCAAGTCCTGTTGATTTGCGGATATGTGATACGAGTGGCTCTCGTCCTACAGACACTTCAAAGTCTCTTTGGTGTTTTGAAAAACTATATTCCGCTTTGTGCGTGTAACCAAGTTGAACAGAAAGCAATTTGTGCCAATGCTGTTCACATGACTACAACATGTAATGCTCCTCTGCCTAATGTTACCATATGCCTTATGTGTTTCAAATGTTAATTAAAAGCATAACAAAATCCTCCTAGGCCCACTGCTGTCATTTGTGGTAAAAATGTTTTATGCTAAAGATCCTTAAAATACATGCTTGGGACCCCAGCCAGCCTCTGTTTTTGCCTGTGGCCCATCACAGCAAGCCACATGTGCCTCCCCTTCCCCATCTCCACCCCAGGCCTGTATGGCTCCATGGCCTAAGCCCCCCCCCCCCCGCCCCGCCCCCCCCCCGCGCC